CAATTCAGGTTAGTGTCTAATACAAAACTTTATACATACATTGTTACGTGACCCTAATTGCTCTCCCTGTACTGTGACAGCACACTTCTCCTTTCCACCCCTGATTTCCTGTGTCTATTCAATCAGTTCCTGACCCTCTCTGCCTTTTCACCTCTGGACAGGAGCTGCCGATTTAGTCTCATGTATCTACTTGAGCTAAGAACCACACTCTTCACAAGTATCATTTTCTGTCCCATAGACCAATCTTTGTCTGAAGAGTTGGCCTCAGGAATCAGTACAGTTCCTGGGTTGACAGAGAGTCTGGGGGCCATGCCTTCTGGGGTTCCTCCAGTCGCAAGTCAGACGACTAAGTCTGGTCCTTTTACTAGAATTTGAGTTCTGCACCCCACTTTTCTCCTGTTCCATGAAGGACTCTCTGTTGTGTTCCCTGTCAGGGTGGTCACTGGTGGTAGCCAGGCACTGTCTAGTTCTGGTCTCAGGCTGATGAAGTCTCTGGTTTATGTGGCCCTTTCTGTCTCTTGGGCTAATACTTTCCTTGTGTTTTTGGTGTTCTTCATTCTCCTTTACTCCAGGTAGGTGTGCTTGTCTTTTTATGGGAGTCTTGGAGGTGCAGTGGTTAAGTGCTCATCTGTTAACTGAAAGGTTGGTGGTTTGAACCCACTAACCACTCCGTGGGAGAAAGATGTTGCATTCTGCTTCTTTAAAAATTACAGCCTTGGAAACTTTATGGGGCAGTTCTCCTCTGTCCTTTAGGGTCTCTATGAGTCAGAATTGACTTGACGGCAACAAGTTTGCTTTGGGTGGTGTCTTTTTATGTAAGTGAGGCCATACAATATTTGTCCTTTTGTGATTAACTTCTTTCACTCAGCATAATGTCTTCAGGCTCCGTCTATATCTGTGACGTGTATCAAGACTTCATTTCTCTTACTGACTGGGTAGCATTCCATTGTATGTATATACCACGTTTTGCTTATGTCCATTCGTTCGTTGATGGGCATTTAGGTTGTTTCCACCTTTTGGCTATTGTGAACGGTGCTAAAATGAACATGGGTGTACAAGTATCTGTTTGATTCTCTGCTTTCAGGTCTTTTTGGGTATATACCTAGGAGTAGAATTATTGGGTCTTATGGTAGTTCTATTTTTAGTTTTTTGGGGGAACTGCTGCACTGTTGTCTACAACGGCTGTACCATTTTGCATTCCCACCAGCAATGGATAAGCATTCCAATTTCCGCATGTTCTCACCAACATTTGCTATTTCTGTTTTTGTTTTTTTAATCTTAGCCATACTAGTGGGAGTGAAATGGTAGGTATCTTGTTGTGGTTTTGATTTACATCTCTCTGATGACTAATGACGTTAAGCTTCTTTTCATATATTTGGTAGCCATTTGAATGTCCTTTTTGGGGAAATGTCTTTTCAAGTCCTTTGCCCATTTTATAATTGGGTTATTTGTTTTTTTGTTGTTAAGTTGTCGAAGTTTGATATATATTTTGGTTATTTGGTTCTTACGGATATATAGTTTCTGAAGATATTCTAGTCAGTAGCTTTTCTTTTCATTTTTTTGGTAAAATCTTTTGATGAACAAAAGTTTTAAATTTTTATTTGGTCTCATTTGTCTATTTTGTCTTTTGCTGTTTGTGCTTTTGTTATTAGATAATCCATTGTTAAAAGCTAGGCTGGACAGCGTTGCCCCTCCATTTTCTTCTAAAGATGTTATGGTTTTAGTTTTCACATTATGTCCTGAATCCATTTTGTATTTGTTTTTGTGTATAGTGTGAGGCATGGATTGTGCTTTATTTTTCTGCATGTAGAAATAGTATTTTTTGAGAGTAAATAATTTCCTGAGTTCCACATCAAACTGTTAGGACATTACTTGAAATTTTTAAGAAAGTAAGTCTATTTACATAATTTTTTGCCTTAATTTTTAATATTCTTTCCTTGCTGCATTTCAGAAAAAAATCACTGAACATTTGACTAAATTTTATAGTTTGAACATCAAGAACAGTCATTCTTTCACCTTTAAAGGATAGTTAAAGAAAAAGTGATAAACATGCACATATATGCCTATTTGTATACATTCCATCTGCTACATAAGGCTGCTCTTACTCATAAGTAGAGCATAGCTAACATTTTCCAAGTTCAGTTTTTCAGAAAAATATATCCATATCTGATATATAAACATTTTTATTTGACATTGGGAAATCTGAGTTTTGTTTGATTTTTAAAAAGAACCATTTATTGAGCGTGTATTATTTGGCAGATATGATCAGGTGTTTTTTGTATAACCTGTCATTTAGTTTGAAGTAGATACTATTCACCCCACTGTACAGATGAGAAAACTATGGCTCAGAGAAGTTAAGTGGCAAAGTTGATACTTTAATCTAGTCCTGACTCGCAAGCCTGTGTACTGTCTGGTCACAGTACGTAATTCACGTAGACATGTTTTTGAAATAGCTAAAGTTTATCCCTTAACAAAAGTATAGGTGCTTTAAAGCTGACATAGTATTAATTTTGAACCTAGATGAATCTGGAAACCCTGGTGGCATAGTGGTTAAGAGTTCAGCTGTTAACCAAAAGGTTGGCAGTTTGAATCCACCAGGCACTCCTTGGAAACCCTATGGGGCAGTTCTACTCTATCCTACAGGGTTGCTATGAGTCAGAATCCACTCAAAGGCAGTGGGTTCTAGGTTTGAATCTTGGCTGTACTGTTTACTTGCTTTGTGATTTTAATTAGGTTATTTAACTTTTCTAGGCTTTAGTTTCCTTATGTGTTAAATGGAGACAATAATTGAGATTGTTGTGATGATTAAATAACTTAATGTATGAAGAGCTCTTAGAACAATGCCTAGTATGTAGTATGAGTTCCATAAATGTTAGCTGTTAATTAGTAATAGAACAGTTGTTCATGTTAAAGATAAAGGAAACTGAAACCCAGAGAAATTAAGTACTTTCTGAGTTACATAGTTCCCGAAGGTCACATAGCTATTAAATTGCAAAGCTGAGTTTTTTTATTTCAAGGCCAGAATTTTATCCACTATTTTAACTATTTTTTAAGAAGGGAAACTCTTTAAAAATGTGTTACACTTTATCTGTATCTACTTAGATAGGGATAACATAATTTAACTTTTTCTCAATCAGATTGACAGAGTTGTACAAAAAACGCTAGGAATTACAGCACTTGTGTATTCACTCCTTACCTTAATGTGATATGCGTAATAGCCAAAGTACAAAAAAAACAAAAAACAAAAAAAACCCACTATCGTTGAGTCAATTCTGACTCACAGTGACCTTATAGGACAGAGTAGAAGTGCCCCTTAGGGTTTCCAGGGCTGTAAATCTTTATGGAAGCTGTCAGCCACGTCTTTCTCCCATGGAAGTAGCTGGTGGGTTCAAATCGCCGACCTTTAGGTTAACAGCCAAGTGTGTAACCACTGTGCCAGCAGGACTCCTTAATGACCTAAGTAATCTCTATTTAGTTACATATCTTTTTTTTTTTTTTAAATCAAGCTCTAGTATCAGGGCTTCGAACCAGTTTGTTCTGATGGAACCCCTGCTGAGAATTTTCATTTCCACCCCAGATATACTAAATCAGAATCTAAAATTTAACAAGATCCCCAGGTGATTTTTGTGTATACTAACTTTTGAGAGAACCACTGCTGTATTAGTAGTTCTCTAACCAGCATTGCCTGGGAACTTGTTAGAAATGCAAATAAAATCCTTCTGATAGGTCAAGTGTGAAACCCGCTGCTTAGAATTTGCCTTGATTATTATCTTATTTCAAGTAGATTTTGTAAACCAGAGTTAGGGAAGTTGATTACAGGCTATGCATTTGTGGGGGGTGGGGCGGTGGTACGCTGTAGGCCACAGCTGAGTATCATTTAAGTATAATTGTGGGTCTGTGTTTTTATTTGATGGATTGAGGAGAGTTGAATGTCATATCTTTAATGTTCCTGGTTCCAAAAATTCAAAAGCAATTTTTTTCTTTAAGAGAGCAATTGATAGAATTAGGAAACTATTATTGTTAATAGTCAAAGGGGTTCACCCTCCCATCAGATTAAAGGAAAGGTATTTAGATGAAGAGGAAGCTATTTTCCTTGTGAGTTTATATGATATGTGCTATAAATTTCTCTTTCTGATATCCATGTAGTTAAAGTGTCTGTTGTGCTTTCATATCGTGTTTTTGTTTTTGTTTGTTTTAAATAGCTGAGTTTATAATGTATTAGGATTTTAATCAGTGCTCAGGAGGGCTTTTATCCTATATGGACTAAATACTCATAAAGGTGGAACAAAGTGGGTAACAGAATGGTTATTAGGCTTCTGGGCAGAAATATACAGTGGAATTCTGGAGAGGGACATTTAAGGATAATGAAGTCAGGGTTACTGAATACTCAGGAGTCTGGCATATAACTATATATAGAATGAAGAGGGGGGCAGGGTCTCTCAAGGAGTTTAGAGGAATATTTTAGGTCTAAAAATGGTTGAAGAACAAACATGGCAACGTATACTGTCTGTTTAACGGCAATATCAAATGGAAAAGTGGTCTAATTATGGTATCATGGTTACAACCAATGGTAATTTTATATTTCCAGGTTTCTCCTCTACTGCATTTTCAGATGGGTCTGACTAATGCCAATTTCTAATGGAACACTTGATGGTTAAATGCAGCGTGGTTGCCACAAATAGTAGTATTACCTTTTCTATAGGGTACGTCTTGACAGGATCTGTGTCTACTAATGTATTTATCTGGACTATAAGTCAGCCAGCTGCTACATTGTGGCTACGAGGGAGATTACTTTTCTGGCCCTACCACCTTGGCTTAACCTTACCTAGACTCTTGGGCCCAGGCCTTCAAAGGATTTATTAGCTTTTTGTTTGAATGAGATAATTTTCTTCTGTAAAGTTTCTTTCTTTTTAATAAACGTGTTATGGGCTCCACACTCAGATTTGAAACTAATCGTAAATTAGTATTTTTGAAAAGTTGTTTTTCCTTTTCTCTTGCAGGTATAGTCCAGAGAACAAGTCTCCAAACATCTTTGCAGTATTGATTCTGAGCTGTCAGGGGACTCAGGCTTATGAGGAGGCTCTGTCACACAAAACAGTGTCTAGTGAAGACGACAAGAAAGAGAGGAAAGGATCGTAAAAAGAAGCTAAAATACTATAGAAAATCATGGTAGGTTAATTTATCTTTCCTTAATTTAGTTACAAAAGATTCCAGTACTCTAAAATTGTAAGTGTTAACAATTAACGGTGTTAATTTTTGGCTCTAGTGCATTGGATAAAGACGGCACTCTACTATTTAAGCAAAGCAAATGAGTTCAGATTTATTACGAGCCCTTTAAACTACAAGATGGAGCCCCATAAGCCTGTAGGCCATAAAGTATTAAAAACAAAGGAAGGAATGCTCATGAGTAATATTTTCTAATAAAACTGGCATTAGCAAACCAATGCAAATTGCAAGGTGACTGTGAGTTCAAAATTGTGTAGTTTTTCTCTAGTCTTCTACCTGAAGTTCGGTTTTTCCCCTTAAAAATAAAAAATCCAGAACCATTACTACAAGTAGTGATATGAATGTTATAGGAGTTTATAAAATGTGGGAGTATTTACCTAAAAAAGTAAAAAATGGTTTTAAAATAATAAGGTCAAGTGTTGAGTGTATTAGAGGCACTGAAATGAGTATCGAGGAAACTTTGCTTTTTGTGGAGAGTTCAGATTTAAATTTGTGATGTTAGATGAGGCTCATAATCTCTGGTGCCTAGTTTTTTAACTGGTAAAATGTGCTGATTTTTTCCCACTAATATTTTGATTCTGAAGGATGTTGTGTGAATTTTTCCTTAAGCATAAGTGAGAAAAGATTTAAAAAAGACTTTATTGAGTGGGAGAAAAGCACAAAAATATTAATCATCAGTATGTTTAGAATATGTTGTTTAGGAAGTCTGGTGGTATTTCTTTAAATGATACTTGATTTAAAAAAAATTGTGCTAAGGGTTAATAACTAACTAGTTGACTTGCTCTTTACAGAAGACATTCTACTAATATTTTAGTACTGGATGGTGGGAAAGCAATGTTAACTTGAGAATTTTCCCTGTTGTTTAGTTTTATAGTGATATGCCCAAATAGGCTGCTTGTATGAGCTAGTTTGAAAATTTCTAGATTCTTTGTTTTGAGAGCTTGCTGAAGCCATCATGGATTGCCTCTTTATGTGATTTGATATTGACTGTTGTCTGTGAGCCATCAATAAGTTATTATATTTATTTATTTTCATGTTTGTTTACTGTGTCCTAGCTTCTTGTTTTGTTTTGATATGCCCCAAAAGTCTGCTCATATGAGCTAGTTTGATTATTGGCACCTTTGAAGCTCTAATGTCCTGTCACCAGCTGGTTAGGTCTGTTACTAGGTATGTGAGCTCAGGAGTCCGCCCACTCCTCCTGTATGGATTCAGCTCGGGTGCCCAGGTAGATAGCTACCAAGTGTGTGGTGTAGGCTCTCACTTACAGTTCTAGACAGGCATGGGTGATTGGTGTAGGCACAGGTATCTGGCTGCAGCAGGGGGACACGCTCTGAGCAAAGCGGGGGGCTGACAGTTGCCCCTGAGTGTCCTAGAGTGCGTAGGTGGGTGGGTTTTGCAGCCAGACTCTGAGCACCTAATGCTGTTGGCTGTAAGGACTGGGGGGCACCTCTTATTCATGGCCCCTCTCGCAGGTGGTAAGGTGGCATGGGTGAAGCCACCAGTCCTCAGGCCCCTGATGTGGGTAGGTGAAGACCCTGCTTAATTGGCAGAGCAGTGTCAAATGTCATGAACCTGCCACTTCACAACTGAAACAGTTGAAGTTAGAGTTCCAGTATATACCCTGTTGTACTGCGGTAATGAGGGCCTATGCTGTTGAGATGGGTCCACACAAGTCTGTGCAGAGGGAAAGGCACTCAAAGTCCATGGATCCCTTATGCCTGCGCTTGGACAAAAGAGCTGTGCCTACCCTGGGTTCCTGGCTTAGAGGAGCTGGCAGTTTATTTTTTCCTGTTTGTTAATTTGTTTACTCTCCAAGCCAGGGAGAATGGCTCCGGGCATGTGACGGATCCTACTTCTGGCCCAGGGGACTCGCAATTGCTGAAGCTGGTCCAGGACCCAGTGAAGAGCAGGGAGTGGGGAGGTAAATGGGAGAGAGGTTTTTCCCTAAGCGGGGTGTTTTTCATCGGCGCGGTAAGCGGTACGCAAGTACTTATCTTTCATGGAGGGTTGCTTCTCACTGGGTGGCTGTGTAGAGTCTCTGGTGCTGGGTCTCTCCCAGTGTGAAAAATGTGCCTCCTGAGCTCGGCTGCTTGCCTGCCTCACCAATGCCCCCTGAGCTGATCAGGCCTGAAGGACCCAGGCTCTCACCGGATCAGGTCTGGCAACTCCTTGCTGCTTCCAAACCGTCTCTCCCTCCGCCTGCCACTCCGTCTGGTTCCTCAACTCTGCCTTTGATGTTCAGGGCTCCCAGATAGCCATATATAATCGAATCACTTGTTTTTTCGGGTCTTTTTTGTAAGAGGGTCTGCTAGAAGCTTCTGACTACTCTGCTATCTTGGCCCTGCCTCCCCTAGTTTTATGGTGAGATGTGAAAAAACCCTAGTGTTATTTGTATTTCTTCCCATGTGAGTTGTTTACTTCTTCACCTCATTTACCTATTTTAGTCTTGCTAGTCTTAAAGCTTAAATAAATGTTATATATATTATTTGTCATAGTTGATGCAAATTCCTACCCTAGTTTATTCTTTAAATTTTCTGGTGTAGAAATTTTGTACTTTTATATAATTTAGTTGGTCGAGTTTTTCCAATGTCTTCTACTGCTTTAAATCTTACATCTCCAATTTGAGTGAGAACTTTCTGTTTCTGCCTAGTGCTTCCAATTTAATTTTTAACATTTAACTTAAAAAATCCATTTGAAGCTTATTTGAATAATTAGGAATGCTGTCCAGTTTTTTTTCTCCTAATACCATTTATTCAGTTCTTCTTTTCACCTTTGTTTTATGGTGCTTGACCTATCACATACGATAGGCTCTTGGATTTAACTTTCTTGGATGTAACATTGGCAGTCTATATAATTTTTCTTGTTGTGTAGCAATATGTAATTTTGTTAAGGTGAGGCCAGTGTGTTGGACTGAGCAACTTGGCTAATTGATCTGTTCAGCTAAAAGCCTGGCATCTCCAACTCATTATGTGACTCTTGTTTTCTTGTTCCTTGATCGCATAAAGTGGTTACAAAGCGTGTTTCTTTGTGATGTAAGGCTCCAGTTGGAAAACTGGTCGTGGAAGTTGAGCAAGAAAGATATTTAGACAGAGATTTTTTTTTTTTTATCTAGGAAAAAAAAGCTTTATTATTGATTTTAGTGCTGTATTTATATAATGATTGAGGGTTTCAAAGGATTGCCTACTTTTTCAGTTTGCTTCTTTTTATAGGGAACAATGTTACTGCGGTGTTAATTTGCTAGTTTCCAAACTAATAAGATTTTAAATTGTGATTTTCAAACAAAAACAAAACAAAAAGGCAGGACTGATGAAGGATTACCAGTATTTTATTTTTCAGTAAGACTTTAAAACAAAATATTTACCATATACCAGCACATAATTTCATGTAAGTAAAGACACTGTAAACCAACCTTCATATTGAATACTTTTGGTATTATGGAAAACTCACCAGGTTATTTATTTTGCTGTGTACTGGTATAAATACCTTCATAGTATTTGTAAATTTAGAAATATTTAAATATTTTTTGATGTGTGCCTCATGAAGGATCTATTAAATTCTTATGAAATTCATTCTGTTTCTGGGCTGGCATGTTATTTTAATTACTGCTATTTTTTGTTTTAATATTTTGTTTTAGCATAGTGGTACTGCCAGTCCATCCTGGTAGAATATTTTTTGATAGTCATTGATTTTTTTTTTCCCAAATGAACTTTCAAATTACTTTTATTAAGTTTTAAGTAGGTAAGTCAATCCTGAGGGATTTTGTTTGAGAATGTAATAAATCTGTAAATTAACTTGGAAAGTTGATTTTTTTGCAGTATATATTTTACCCACCTTGGAATTTGGAATGTCTGCCACTAATCTATTTTAAAAATAAAACCTTGTACCAAAGGTTTGAATGCCAAATAGTAAACAGTATTCTAATGTAATGCATATTTTCCTGTAGTGTTTAAACTTAACTTTGTATTTTATATTATTACTGTATTATGAAATTTATTTTTCAAGGTGAAAAACTCTCTAGCAGTTTGAGTCTCATAAGTCACTATCATACATTTCTAGAGATTCTCTTGAAGCTAGGAAGTGTCTATTTCTTGCAGATGATGTGTGATATAGATGGCCTTTTTTGAAGTGGTATTCAGAACGCATGGGTGCACCTTAAAGATAGCATATGTGTAATGCTGAGTGTGACCTGGGTGAACCTTGACCAAAACATGAATGAGGAATCTTTAATTTTCTGATGTGGAGTTCAGCAGAGCTTTGATTTTCCATTTCTGAGCAATTTTTTATTGTTTCAGTTTTAACTATTTCACAGTTGTTTGACAATGCTGTGAGTAGACCTATGTTTATATGTAATCCGTTTTGGGTAACATTTCTTTTGTTGACTTAATAATTTTTCCTTCTGACAGAGATCCATTCGATCTTTTGCCAATGATGATCGCCATGTTATGGTGAAGCATTCAACAATTTACCCATCTCCGGAGGAACTTGAAGCTGTTCAGAATATGGTGTCTACAGTTGAATGTGCTCTTAAACATGTCTCAGATTGGCTGGATGAAACAAATAAAGGCACAAAAACAGAGGGTGAGACAGAAGTGAAGAAAGATGAGGCCGTAGAAAACTATTCCAAGTGAGTGTGACCTGACCTTTGTAATGTTTTACTGTCACGTACAGAAAAGCTTGTGGATCCTGGATTAAGTTTGATAATGTATTCTTTGGGTTTTCTCACATACATGACTATAATCAGGAAGTAAATGTTATGTGGATTCTTTCTGAGATAATTTGAAAGGAAAGCAAGAAAGGGATAATGAATAGAGCCAGAAAAAGAAGATCAACTTGTTTAGGATCCCTTTTGGGAGTACACCAGGCCCTTTAAAATCTTCATGTTTGAAGATTATGGTATGTCATCTTTTTCCTATGTTGATTTAGTCTCCTAAATTTTGAAATAAATAGTAGTGTGTTTGACCTAGCTGTTTTAAAAATTTAGTGTAGAAGAAAGAGTGCAGGAAAATGCATTTTAATGGGTTTTTCTTTTTCTTTTTTTATCGTACTTTAAATGAAGATTTACAAAACAAATAATTTCTCGTTAAACAGTTAGTACACATATTGTTTTATGACATTGGTTAACAACCGCACGACATGTCAACACTCTCCCTTCTCAACCTTGGGTTCCCTGTTACCAGCTTTCCTGACCCTCCTGCCTTCTACTCCTTGTCCCTGGGCTGTTGTGCTCCTTTAGTCTCGTTTTGTTTTATGTGGCTGTCTAATCTTTTGCTGAAGGGTGAACCTCAGGAGTGACTTCATTACTGAGGTAAAAGGGTGCCCGGGGGCCATACTCTCAGAGTTTCTCCAATCTCTGTCAGGCCAATAAGTTTGGTCTTTTTTTGTGAGTTAGAAGTTTGTTCTATATTTTTCTCCAGCTCTGTCCAGGACCCTCTGTTGTGATCCCTGTCAAAGCAGTCAGTGGTGGTAGCTGGGCACCATCTAGTTGTACTGAACTCAGTCTGGTGGAGGACCTGGTAGTTGTGGTCCGTTAGTCCTTTGGACTAAATCTTTCCCTTGTATCTTTTTTTCTTCATTCTCCCTTGCTCCTGAAGGGGTGAGACCAGTGGAGTATCTTACGTGGCTGCTCACAGGCTTTTAAGACCCCAGATGCTACTCACCAAGGTACAATGTGGAACACATTCTTTATAAACTGTGTTATGCCAGTTGAGCTAGATATTCCCTGAGACCATGGTCCCCACAGCCCTCTGCTCAGCAATTTGGTCCCTTAGGGAGTTTAAATGTGTCTATGGAGCTTCCATGACCTTTCCTTGTACAAGTTGTGCTGGCTTCCCCAGTATTGTATACCGTCTTACCCTTCACCAAAGTTACCACTTATCTATTGTCTATTTAGTATTTCCCCTGACCCCTCCCATCCCTTGTAACCATTAAAGATTGTTTCTTTTTGTGTGTAAACCTTTTCATGAGTTTTTACAGTAGTGGTCTCATACAATATTTGTCCTTTTGTGATTGACTTATATCACTCAGCATAATGACCCCCAGTTTCATCCAGGTTACGAGATGCTTCGCAGAGTCATCATTGTTCTTTATCGTTGTATAATACTCCTTTGTGTGTATGTACCGTAGTTTGTTTATCCATTCATCTGTTGGTGGGCATCTAGGTTGTTTCCATCTTTTTGCTGTTGTGAGCAATGCTGCAGTGAACATGGTGTGCATATGTCTATTCGTTTGACGGCTCTTATTTCTCTAGGATGTATTCCTAGGAGTGGATTGCTGGATCATATGGTATTTCTATTTCTAGATTTCTAAGGAAGTGTCATCTCATTTTCCAAAATGGTTGTATCATTTTGCATTCCTACTAATGGTTATTTTTGAAGGGCGAAAGCGTAATAAACCTGGACAAGGAGTCAGGATGCTAGGATGTTATGCCCGTTATTGCTTCTGACTGTGCTTTTGGGCAAATCATTTACCTCACTTGTTCTTGAGTGTTTTCACAAGGAAATGGTCATTGAATGTTAACACTGAAGCTTGAAATTTCCCAGATGCACCTCCTGTTGTTTACCTGGCCTGTAATATTCTTCCTTTGCGTCTTTTGTTGAATTCTTGTTCATTTTTTAAGGGTCAACTCAGGAGTCATCTTCCGTCTATATCCCATTCACACTCTCAGTGCCTGTTTGTTGGCCTCCATATCTACCCTGTCCCTTTTACCCCATGCTGTACTGTCTCCGCTGCAATATTACTTATTCCCTCCGCCCCATCTGTCTCCCACAATTCTTCTCATACTCTAGTGAGCCCCTCTGTAGTGGTTTCATCATATCCTTTGCATACAGATACATGTACAGTGTGCTCGTTATTTTCTGTAGAGTGAGTTTTTTATTTTGTTATTTAATTTCTTATTTATTCCTGATGCTTAACACAAACTTGGCACAAATACTGTGTGCTTAAAAATATATATTTTTAATTTCCAAGTTCTGGTCAGTTAAAAACTCTGTTTCTAAGATTATTTTTGCATGAAAATACTATACCTGTGGTGAGATTTTACTGAGTGATTTATTCTTTGTAAATAAGCAAGTAATTTTCAAACTGACTTAGGTAAAGTTTCTTGTGTTTGGAGAGATTATGTTTGTGATGGGAAGGAAGTAGACATTGAAGACAGCCAGACCTCCAAATTCCAGTCTATCACTTACTAGTTTTATGACCTTAGACAACTACTTAATTACCTTCCATGTGCTTTCATAGCATATGTGTCTCTGGTTGTAGGACTTAATCACACTATATTTTTCTTCTCTGTATCCCCTATAAAGTCAGAAGCTCTATAATGGTAAGGACTGTGTCTACCTTGTTGATTCCTAGTATCTAGCACAGTGCCTGGCATATAATAAAAGCTTATTGTATATTTGTGGAGTAAATGAAGTCCCAATGGGAGGAAACCAGAACCTTCAACAATTATAGTATTCTAAAGGCTAAGTAGGCCCGGTGACACAGTGGTTAAGCTCTTGGCTGTTAACCTAAAGGTCACCGGTTCGATCCAGCAGCAGCTCCATAGGAGAAAAGACCTGGAGATCTGCTCTTGTAAAGATTACAGCCTGGAAAACCCTATAGGACAGTTCTGTTCTGTCCTATAGGGTTACCATGAGTCAGAATCGACTTTGCAGCACATGACGATGGTTCTAAAGGTTGAAATAGTAGTAGTGATTAGTGTGAGATGTAGTTGAAGGGGGAATGAAGCTTTCTATGCCATGCCAAGCTTAAAGTTACTGTTTTGGGCAGTGTCACTATGATTGGGATAAATGTATAACTTAATTTGAAAGATGACACTCATTTGACTGTACTGTATCAATAGGTTTCAGCACATTACTTCAGCTACAATTTGTAAACGAGGAGAGAGATTACAGCTTCCCCCCACCCCCCCAAGTTATCCAATTCTAAATCAGTGTGATAAAGTAGATAAAGAATAGTGGGAAAATATTGATAAATCAGTTTACTTCAGTGAAACATACTGTAACCTTTTCATCTTCAGATCTGTCATCAGGGTCATTTATCTGCTGAAGAAGATAATTCCTTGGTTTTGTTAAGTTTTAACAGCAAATTTATACATTGTACGTAGTCGAATTCTTGTCAGTTTGAAGGCTCTTGACAGTAATTTACTTCTTCTCAAATATGTATGATGGTTTAAAAAATTACACTGGCAAATTTGGGGCCCATGTCAGTTAGTAATAGTATCCAGTAACCTGGCTCTATACACCCAAGTTCCTGTGCAGGTTAAATAGTCATGCACTCTATATTTAGATTGCACTTGGGTGTATGTTCATGCCTTTCTAATAAATCTTTCTTCTAATATTGTTTCTTCTCAAGGCTGGCAGACTTTTGGAAGGCTTCCCTTAGACTTTTGCTTAACTGGATGAAGTCACTGTGCTTTAAAGGTTTTTAAAAGATAATGTGCTCCACACTTTTGCTTGGATTTTTAAATATAGCTGTATGTGGGGATGTCTTGATTGTCTATGTAAAATCTTGCCATTTTGTGGAATAGGCCCAGGTTGAGCACTTGTCTATGTTTCTTCCCATATGGTAAATAAAACTCAGGAGCGCAGACTGATTCTGCTCTTATTTTGTATAAAAAAGGCAGGCACGTCTTCCAAAAACAAAGTAATGTATTGAGCTTCTGATGCATTACTAAGCATTACAGAGGGTACAAAGATAAATGAAGGATAGCTTATATTTGTTGAGCACCTTCTCTTGCCAGGTATTGTTAGGCAACTTTTACCTGTGTTCTCTTATTTTACCTATTAACGTATTTTAAAGACAACAAATAGACTCAAAAGTCAAATAAATTACACAAGTTTCCACAGTTTGTATTATTAGGAATATTAGGACTCTGTTCTTATTTTAGGAGTCCTTGAGTGGCACAAATGTTTAAACACTTGGCTACTAACTGAGAGGTTGGTGGTTTGAATTCACCTAGAGGCGCCTCAGAAGAACGGTCTGGTGATCTACCTCCAAAAGATCACAGCCGTTGAAAACTCTGTGGTGCACCGTTCTGTTCTGAAACACGAGGTAGCCATGAGTTGGAATTGACTTGGTGTCAGCTGGTTGGTTGTTGGTTAGTTCTTAATTTTAAGTAATTCCCTATATTTGAGTCACTTGTTTTATAATACCTTCTTTTTTCAAAATGACAGGCACGTGGTGGTAGCTAATAATAGCTAAAATTTATTGAGTCCCCAGGTACTATACTAGTTTCTCACATTATCTTACAACAAACATACTAGCTTCTATTATTCTGATCTTCCTCCCTTCGATTGTACTTATGAAATTTCTACAGTTCCAAATTTACTTATGAACCAAGAGTGACTCAGAATTGTTAACAAACTTTAACATGCTTAAGGTCACTGAACTTTTAGTGTATAGTGGAGCCAGGATTCACACTCAGGTATGTATGACTCCAGATGCAGTTTTTTTTTAGCATCTATGCTTTAATTTCCCATGAATAAAACGTGAAAATAAATAACAGGGAGAGATTATATAATGGTTCTGGGGATCAAAAAAAGCTTTATGAAAAAGGTAGCATTTGGAATAGGCTTAGTGGATGGGGGAGGGTTTTGACCAAAAGTGAAAGTAGAAGGAAAAATGAACCTCAGCAGAGATCTAGGTGTGAGAAAATATAAAGACTATTTTAAAGGAATGATAGCTAATATTTATGGCACTATTAATATATGCCAGACTCTGGGCTCAGTTCTTTACATAATCTTACATTAAATGATAATTAGTACCACTCTGTGAGGAAGGCATTCTTCTTCTTGTTAGCTACCGTTGATTTGGTTCTGACTCATAGTGACCCTGTATACAACAGAACGAAACACTGCCCAGTCCTGTGCCGTCCACAATTGTTGCTATGTTTGAACCCAGTGTTTCAGCCACTGTGTCAGTTCATCTCATTGAGGGTGTTCCTCTTTTTCACTGACTCTCTACTTTTACCAAGCATGATGTCCTTCTCCAGGGACTGGTCCCTCCTGGTAACATGTTCAAAGTACGTGAGACGAAGTCTCACCATCCTCACTTCTAAGGACCATTCTAGCTGTACTTCTTCCAAGACAGATTTGTTCATCCTGGCAATCCATGGTATGTTCAGTATTCTTTACCAACCAATAATTCAGAGGCATCAATTCTTTTTGGTTTTCTTTATTCATTGTCCAGCTTTCATATGCATATTAGTTGATTGAAAATACCATGGCTTGGGTCAGGTGTACCTTAGTCCTCAAAGTGACATGTTTGCTTTCTAACACTTTAAAGAGGTCCTTTGCAGCAGATTTGCGCAATACATCGTTTGGTTTCTTGACTGCTGCTTCCGTGAGCGCTGATTGTGGATCCAAGTAAAATGAAATGCTTGACAACTTCAACCTTTTCTCCGTTTATCATGATGTTGCTTAGTCGTCTAGTTGTGAGGATTTTTGTTTTATGTTGAGGCATAATCCATATTGAAGGCTGTAGTCTTTGATCTTCATCAGTAAGTACTTCAAGTCTTCACTTTCAGCAAGCAGGGTTGTGTCATCTGCATAACTCAGGTTGTTAATGATTCTTCCTCCAATTGTGATGCCACATTCTTCTTCATATAGTCCAGCTTCTTGGATTATTTGCTGAGCATACAGATTGAATAAGTATGGTGAAAGGATACAGCCCTGACGCATACCTTTCCTGATTTTAAACCACGTAGTATTTCCTTGTTCTGTTCAAACAGCTGCCTCTTGGTCTGTGTACAGGTTCTGCATGAGCACAATTCAGTGTTCTGGAATTCGCATTCTTCCCAGTGTTATCCATAATTTGTTATGATCCACACATTTGAATGCCTTTGCATAGTCAGTAAAACTCAGGTAAACATCCTTCTGGTATTCTCTGCTTTCAGCCAAGATCCATCTGACAATCAGCAATGATAGCGCTCATTCCACATCCTATTCTGAATCTCCCTTGAATTTCTGGCAGTTCTTGTCCATGTACTGCTGCAACCATTTTTGAATTATCTTTAGCACAATTTTTCTTGTGTGTGATATTAATTATGTTTGATAATTTCTGCTTTCTGTTGGATCACCTTTCTTTGGAATGGGCACAGATATGGATCTCTTCCAGTCGGTTGGCCAGGTAGCTGTCTTCCATATTTCTTGGCATAGATGAGCGAGCACTTCCAGCATTGCATCTGCTTGTTGAAACATCGCAGTTAGTAGTCTGTCAGTTCCTGGAGTCTTGTTTTTTACTGGTGCCTTCTGTGCAGCTTGGATTTTTTTCCTTCAGTACCATTGCTGCTTCATCATATGCTACCTCCTGAAATGGTTAAATGTCTACCAGCTCTTTTTGATACAGTGACTCTGTGTATTCCTTCCATCTGCTTTTGATGCTTCCTGCATTGTTCAGTATTTTCCCCACAGAGTCCTTCATTATTGCAACTCAAGGCTTGAACTTTTTCGTCAGTTCTTTCAGCTTGAGTAATACCAAGCATGTTCTTCCGTTTTGGTTTTCTAACTCCAGGTCTTTGCACATTTCGTTGTAGTACTTTGCTTTGTCTTCTAGAGCCGCCCTTTGAAGTCTTCCATTCAGGCCTTTCACTTCATCATCTCTCCCATTCACTTTAGCTACTCTGTGTTGTAGAACCAGTTTCAGAGCCTGTTCTGACATCCTTTTTGGCCTTTTCTTTCTTATCTTTTTAATGACCTTTCGCTTTCTTCACGTATGATGTTCTTGATGTCATTCCACAATTTATCTGGTCTTCACTCATTAGTGTTCAGTGAGTCAACTCTGTTCTTGAAGTGATCTGTAAATTCAGGTGAAATATACTTAAGTTCATAGTTTGGCTCTCATGGGCTTGTTTGAATTTTCCTCAGCTTCAACTTGAACTTGCAAATGAGTAATTGATGGTCTGTTCTTCAGTCAGCCCTTGGCGTTGTTCTGAGTGATGTTGAACTTCTCCATCATCTCCTTTCACAGATGTAGTTGATTTTATTTCTTCCTGTTCCATCCGGCAAGGTCTATGTGTATAGTTGCTGTTCATGTTGTTGAAAAAAGGTATTTCCAATTTGTAAGTTGTTGGTCTTGCAGAATTCTATTATGTGATCTCCTTCGTTGTTTCTATCACCAAGGCCATGTTTTCCAACTATTGCTCCATTTTCTTTGTTTCCAAGTTTCACATTCCAATCACTAGTAATTATCAATGCATCTTGATTGCATGTTTGATCAGCTTCAGCCTGCAGAAGTTGATAAAAAAAATCTCCAATTTCTTCATCTTTGACATAGGTAATTGGCGTGTAAATTTGAATAATAGTTTTATTAATTGGTCTTCCTTATAGGTGTATGTATAGTATCCTATCACTGACAGCGTTGTATTTCAGCATAGATCTTGAAATATTATTTTTTCAATAAATGTGATGTCGTTTGTCTTTAATTTGTCATTCCTGGCATAGTAGATCATTTAATTGTCTGATTCAAAATGGCCAATACCAGTTCAGTTCAGCTCATTAATGCCTAGGATATCGATGTTCAAGCATTCCATTTCATTGTTGACAACTTTCAGTTTTCCTTGTTCATACTTCATGCATTCCACATTCCGATTTTTAATGAATGTTTGCAGCTGTTATAATTTTGAGTCTTGTTCTATAAATGAGGAAATAAGCTCAAAGAAGTCACATGAATTTGTAATTTGTCCAGAGTCACACAGTAAGTGACAGAGCTAGAATTTGAATCCGGGCAGTTTATTCTGAATTGCCTCCCGGTATACTGTATGTCTTAAGGAGCCCTGGTGATGCAATGGTTAAGTGCTCGGTTGCTAACTGAAAAGTCAGCAGTTTGAACCCACCCAGCTGCTCCTTGGGAGAAAAGACCTGGCAATCTGGTCTTGTAAAGATTATAGCCTAGGAACCCTATGGAGGCAGTTCTACTCTGTCATATAGGGTCAGTATGAGTTGGAATCGACTTGACGGCACACAATAACATACTTTGTGTCTTAAGTGTCCGGTGGGAAACCAAGGGAAATGATAGACTAAGGACTGACATCTGAGCAGGACCTTTGAAAGATTATTCTGATTGCTGTAGGAGCTACAGCTGCTGACCAAAAAGTTGGCAGTTCGAATTCACCAGGTGCTCCTTGGAAACCCTATGGGTCAGTTCTACTCTGTCCTATAGGGTTGCTATGAGTCTGAATCAACTTGATGGCAATGAGTTTGGTTTTGGTTTTTGGTGTGCTATGTTTTGAATGAGTACTAAATTTACTTAAAGTTTCTACTTGTGATTAAGGGAAATGAACCAATAAGAAACTTTATAATTAAAACTAAGGATAGGTTGTTAACAATGTGTGTGTGGTGCACCATTCATGGCTTGATGTTCTTTGAGTGTTTGTTCCTTTAGCTACTACTGGATTTGGAATGCATATACTGGCAGGTTATTTTTAGTCTGTTTGTTCCTTCCTCCCTCAGCTTTTATTTTTACCACATTATTCTGCTTTCCACATAAGCTTTTGTGGATTCCTAGAATGATACAGCCATTTTACAGTTGTGGATACTGAGCCAGCAAGTGCCATGAGGAGTAGAATCCAGGTCTTTCAGATTTCCACTCTGATGCTCTTTCTCAGTATACCACGGCATTCATGTTTTTCACAAATTCTTTATCTTACTATTAAATAACAAGAGGAGGAAGTTTAGGAGAAACAATTTGAAAAATGTTTAAGGTGATACAGTATTTTTGGGTTTTCTTAAGTAGTAAAGAATTAAAACATCTGTAGTCTGAAATGTGCTCCCTATTGATTTCCTTGGGGAAGATAGATACTTTATGAGCCTTTAATCTTAGACTTAAGTTTGTGGATTTTTGAATGTCTGGAGTTACATACTCCTGTATCAACTTATATGGATATCTAGGAAGCCACCTTTATGTATTTTAGGGTCTTTTTAAAAATCTAAGTAGTGACAATTAAGTTATAGTTTGGGAAATAGGTTGTAAAAGTAATCATTCAGACTTTTATTTTTAGGGATCAAGGTGGTCGGACATTGTGTGGTGTAATGAGGATTGGCCTGGTTGCAAAAGGCTTGCTGATTAAAGATGGTATGGATTTGGGGCTGGTTTTAATGTGCAAAGACAAACCCACAGAGACCCTGTTAAATACAGTCAAAGATAATCTTCCTATTCAGATTCAGGTGAGTACAGTTTAACTGCACCTTTAGGAGAATTTGTAAAAAGGTAAAATAGGGAGTGACGTTGATGAATTTCAATAATAAGAGATTGGTAATAGTAAAGGGTAGGTACAGACAAAAGGAATGCCACTATTTTGGGTCAGTGACTACCCCATGACATTCAAAGCAAATTGCTGGTGATGAATATTTGGGATCTGTATACCAAATTAAGATGGCTATTAAGGTACAGTCTTAAGCTTTTCAGATGTATCTGAGAGCTTTCATGTTTTTCTTTGAGTCTAAGTCTCATGGATTGGTTGGTATAATGCATAAAGGAATTGAAAGATTGAAAAGAGCCTGGACAGTTGGAGACTTTCATAGATGAAGAAAAGTTTCATAGATGATAACTTTTAAAATTGAAGACTCAGTTAATTTAACAGTGACCTCATCTGTTCTGTTAATTGAAAGTCACTATTAATTCATTGTTTCCAAACCTTTTTCACATTGTGATGCATTCAGAAAGTTTAAATGGTATGCTCCTGGAGGATGCACTCGAAGACTGCAGGCTCCTTAGCGTAGAAGGCAGTAGGTCTGAGATTCTGTTCACCTTAGGGCTAGCCCTGCCAGCCTGGCCCAAGGGCCGATTGCATCACTGGTTAGAAAGCTGTGATCATCTTTCAGTTTCAGATCTTTGTTAACTGAGGTATAACTGGATTACAGCTTTTTGATAATTTCATATTAGTTAGTCCTTATTCATGTCACACAAATAGATGTTAGCCCACAGGGTCCAAACTTTGAGTTGTTGAATGTTCCCTTTTCTTTTGTTGTTTTCTTTTAAAAAGACCGTTTTTTCCAAGTAATATGAATTCTTAATATGTTTTTATTAGCTTTGTTACTGGATCATTTTCTTTCATATTCACCAACTTACCATCAAAACCATCCCCCTGGTTTTTTTAATCTGTCATTCCTGACACTTAGAGTTGAGTTACTTGTTGACACATTGCCCTGTATTAATTTTTGAGGCCACTATTTTATTTTCACATTCTGCCTTAGATCTTAAGGAATGCTTTTCTAAGGGACCAGACATATTTGGCTTTTCCACTTTCAATTCTGATGGAAAAATGTGTTTTCTGGTCTTTTATAGGGCTAAATGTGTTTTGTTTTGCTTTGCTTTTAAATTTTTTTGTGATCATTTAGGGAGGGAAAGTGGTAGGCAATTTGTAGTACAGTGAAGCTTTAAGAAATGGAAAACACAGTAACAGAGTTCTGGCTAACTATACTTTTTTATTCAAATGTTAATAAAATTCCTTTTGTTTCAATTTTTTTGGTATTGTTTAAATTTAATCTATATTTCTGCTCTTAGTATAGTGAACACTGTTACTATGGAATCTGTAATAAGGTAATACTGAAAGGGTCCGACATATTCTAGGCATAACAGAATCACCTGCAGGGCTTTTCCAACCATTTCATCCCCCTTTCCATTTCCTATAGTGAGTCCTGTTTCATATGAGAACAGTCATATTTCTCAGTTGTGTTAGGGTGGAAAAGTTTGAGAACCAGTGCTATAATAAGTCAGAGTTCTCATTCTGAAAATCTGTCACATCTCTCCAGTATTGAAGATACAGGAGATTGGGCCAAGCTTTAGTTTGCATTAATAGAGCTTTCTCTGTGCAGATCACAACTGTGTGAACTCTGCATTGCTCATCTCCTTAGTGAGGGTCTTTATTTCTACACTTCACAGTTTTAAAATATTCTTGATGAGCTAGCAAGTATTCAGGAAGGATCCAAGAGAGAGTGCAGGTTATGCAAACCATCTCAAAGTTGAAGCACCTAGGGGTTTTTAGACTAGAGAAGACAAAAAAGAAGACATAAATGTCTTTAAGTCTTTGAAGGGCTGTCTTAGAGAAAGTAAAAGAGGCCCGAACTCTAAGACCAATGATAGAAATTATGAGACGTGCATTTCAATTTGGCACAACCAGTAGAGTTGTCCAGTAATGTAACTGGCTGCTTGGTGTGATGGTTAGATCCATTACTATAGGTATTTGGGTAAAAGTACATTTCCCTGTGAAATGGGAATGATAATTGTACACTCACCTCAGATTAAATTATATATGTGTACAGACGTAATATATACACACGTACACATAAGCACACACGTTATTATTGATAATATTTCAGGAAATCATTTAAAGTATGATTTCCACCTTCACACCCCCTACATTACCCTCAAGTTCTCTTTTTGTGGAAAACAAGTCTCTGATATCTATTATGAATTAAAGATCGTTTTCCTGAACACTTACCACAGCAGAACTTTCATTTATCTAATGCCTTAATTGATTAAGGGTGTGTACTATACCTTTTCTCCCCACATACTGTTTTCTAGGGTGATTTTAGAACTTCCATGAGCAAAGGAGGAGAGGGATGACCAAAAATAGAAATCGTTTATAATTAGTCTAGCCCCATATCTCATACAATACGCTTATTACTTTGTGTCTGTTCAGCTGTGGTGATCTGTGTGCATAGTTGAAAAATTAGTTTGACTCTTTCTACAGTGGACATCTTTAATGCTCTTAGAATGGCAAATAAATGTGAGCAGCTTTCTGCTGCTTCTCTCTAGTCTAGTAATTTTGATTCTTCATTCACTGTGTGGCTTTTCCCTTGCTTGGTTTCTTCTATTCAAAATTAGGATAATGGATTTTCTCTTTCCTGTATATTTTGGAGTGGTAAAGTGCTATTTTTATGTAAGTGGCTTTCGATTCCTTTAAGGCACACTGATGGGCAGAAACCTAGTAATAGTACCTCCATTTTGCCTGGCTACTTTATGTCAGGTAATAGAGACTAAATTTTACCACGAAGAAAGACCTTGTACAATTTATTATTCAGTTATATATTTAATGTATAATAATATGTTAAACATAATTTAATACATAACCATAATTGGTTGATTTTGTGGAAGGCCCTTAAATTATATGTTTATGCTAAACAGAAAATTATGCTGAAAGAAGCAATGTACTTAAAGTTTCCCTGTGGATGCCAGATGACTTGTCCCATAATGATTGAGCTCACTGGAATGATCTCTGATGGCTGTCTTCAGAGTAGGGAAGTTACTTATTTATATTTATTTTTCTGGTTAGTGACGGTGCAGAGATCCCTTTTCATTCATGCTTACTCGAGTCTCTTTAAAAATGTACATAATCTTGTATTCGTAAGTCCTTGGTAAGTAGGAGTTTCTGTTTAAGCTGTTCAGTCAGAAAAGCTGTTGTTTTAGAGAGCATTCCCAGCTATTTATTATTCTACAGTAGTACTGTAATAATCACAAGGACAATAATTTACCCTTTATCACATAAATGATGCTGTTGGCAATTTTACTTTCAAATATTAATAAAGAATGGGCTTACCTATTGTTTATGTGATTATACAGATAGATGGTTTACATTGTAGTTGCTTTCTGGGTGATGGAGGATGATGATTTGCTTCTGAGTTGAAAGGAAAGAAGTATTATCCCAAACAAAGAACTGGTTAAGGACTTTACCCCTTCTACATAGTAATACTAATAGTTAATAATGTTTGAGAACTAAGGGGCAAGCATTCATTTCTTGAGATTTTAATCTAATTAATTGAGTGTTTTTGAAATCTTGGTGACTTTCAGAAACTCACAGAAGAGAAATACCAAGTGGAGCAATGTGTAAATGAGGCATCTCTTATAATTCGGAATACAAAAGAACCCCCGCTAACTTTGAAGGTGATACTTACTTCCCCTCTAATTAGGGACGGATTGGAGAAAAAGGATGGAGGTACATGTATATATTTTTTTGTTTTGTTTGCTCATTTAATACTTGTCTTGAACGCTGTGTTAACTGTTCTTCATGGATTTAGGAAATAGCTATCTTTATTTGTTTTATGCCACCCATAATATTTTAAATGGCTCTGTTTCTACATAATCAGTGTATTTTACAATAATATATAAATTCAAAATATAAAATATGTTAATTCAAAAATGCTATGCTTTTCATGTTGGTCTTAACTCTTACTTTAATTTTCATACCATTTTGGTTTTCTATTTTACTTTGTCTAGTGTTGCATTAAGTTATTGATACCAGCCAACCTATGTAGTTTGGTTTAATGGTCAGATTTCATGATTTAGTGTGGTTCAAAACAGTATTGTTTTCAAATTTACTCAGTTGTTTTAAAATTACTCACTTGCACATTGCCCTTGAGTTCTGATAAGTATATAACCTTATAAGATTTCTACTTTATTTAGTTTTCCATGTGTAGATTTGTCTTATAGAGTAACAGATGTAAATTGGGAGATTGATTTTTTTTTTTTTAAGTAATATTTGTCTAGGAGGCTTTTGACCATGTTAACATTTTGAGTATGATATAGTTAGGAATCATGCTTTAAAATTTCTCTCTCTTGAAGTTAAAAAGAATTGCTGTATTGCAATGTCATTTTTATAAAAGGGGTTATCTATTTAGTTATTGTTAGTTTTGAGCAATAATGATGGAGCTGTGCTGGGCTTCTTTTTCTGATGTCTTTATCCTGTCAAGTTAACTTGTTTCTGCCTCTCAGTCCTGTCCCTGGAAACTTACCGTGTGGTATTTCTCCTGTGTCAGACCTTTGACCAACTGGCCACTCTCTGTCATGACAGTTTAGAGGCAGTTTGGCGCACCTGGGCCAGTGGGGACTCCCGGTTGCTATTTTTTCATCACTAGATTTCAGCAAGTCCCATTGCTCACTCCCCTACATGAAATACCAGTGCAGTAAGAAATATTGGTCAGTTTCTTAGTTTATTTCAAGTTGGTGATAAGGGTAGATAAATACATTTACCAGTGAAGTTAGAATTTAGAGTTTTGGCAGACATGAGTCATAGGATCGCTTAAAGAAAAAGTAATAGATTCCTTTAAAAAATGTTTTTTTGGCCAACTAAAATCAACTATACTATACCCAGCAGATACAAACCAGACATATTTATGAATCATATTTTAAAAATAAAAGTACATCCAATCTATAGTTGGGTTTATGCCTGTGCATTTTTTTGCTGTATGTAATATCTGTAGCACCTCTGAAGAACCCATCTTACATGGCTTAATTTCTTTAACAGCTTTACAGTTCACCATTAACTGTAGAACTATAAAATGATTTCTGCAGTGTCAAGATAAATGTTAATTCTGGTAAGCTGTGTTCTACTTGACCCTCTAGTGTAAAACCAACCATTTCTAAGTAATAATTATAGGTATTATTAAAAACTGTTTGCGTATAGGGAGATGAGAAAAAGACTAAAGTTGTTGCCAAAGACTAGGATAATTATACATTTGCTGGTAGCTGTAAGCATTCCTCCCATTACTTCTTTGAAAGCCCTAAGGGAACATCAGACTTCTTTTTTCCTGTAGTTTCGTGTGCTTACATGGGATTTTGTCATAGCTTTCAGTAATACCCTTAAGATTAGTCTGTTTCTTTTATAACTTTAATTTCTGTTCAGAGAAGCTGAAAACAGATTCTTTAGTGTATTCCATGCTTGCTAGAAAACTATTTATTGCAGAATGGAATTTGTAATAAAGTAGCAGAGTCATAGTCTCTGTTCAAGGTGTTTGGGTTCCTAAAGGATCCAGAGATCTTTTATGAGCTGAGTCTCACAAGCTGATGTTACTATTATCCTGTGGGACCAGGTAAGGTAGAAGAATCAGCTTGGCTCTACTGTCTGTCTGTTTGAATGGCAGAAAGATTTGCTTTGCAATTTATACGTTGTTCTTAACCTTGCAACCCTGTTGATATGCTGTCTTTCATAGTTTGCTCATTTTGTCTAACCTGGGCTTTGTCAAAGACAATTTTTTGTTCTGTGCTAGCAGTTTTGTATGTTCCTGGCCAACTTGGAGAATCCAGCATAATTGAGCATTTGAGACATGAGCTATACAATTCTGTAGGACTTCGTTTTCTCTGGACGGCTTCTCATTGCTTTAATGCACTTCTTTTCACTGCGTGAGATAAAAGCACGAGATTCATTTAGGTTCCAGGGATTTCTAGGACTGGAATATACTCTTTTTTTCAGTCTCACTCATTTTATTTCTCAAGGTTTAAAAACTAACCACTGGAACTTTTTTTTTTGGAGACCTTTTCCTATAGTATCTCGTTTCCTTCACCTTCCCCCAAACAAACAAATTATTCACAAACCATATGTACACTTCACGTCTTTTGCTTCCCTCTCTTCACTTGCTAAACATTTGGGCAAAATCTGTAAAAGGAGAAAAGCATGCTTAAGAGCAGGCAGAACCAGAGGACTGGGACAGGTTAGAGTATCAAACTTACTCACTCAGGGATGTCTCTGCAGAAGTGTATCTTGTACTAAATTTCAAATCACTCTAGGTTTTAAATTGCCAGAGTATGTAGTGAATCTCTTTGGTATTGTTTACTGTTTCACATGTAATGTTCCTCCTATACGGTCAATTTTCTTTCCTGACTGTAACACCTCAAGGTCCTGTAGAATAACTACTTCCCCATTACTACATCCTTCCTGCTAAAGAAGACGTAGGAGAAAAAGCACAGAGCTTGATGCCTGGCAGGCTTGTGTTTGATTCTTAACTCCAATAGTTACTATTTCTGTGCAATTTTAGACAGGCTTCTTTTTTGTAAAATGTGAATAATAAATAACCCAGAAAGTTATTTTGAGGTGAAATGAGAGAATTTATGTACTATGACTTGTAGAATACGTGGTACAAAGCAGTTGCTCAATAAATAGTGGTAGTTACTCAGCTCTCTGCAAAGATTCACAGAGCACACCCAACCTGTTCAAATTGCCATGAGTTAACAGTGAGAATGATGTGTGCATGACAGCTCTAAAGAAGTGAACCTGAAGACAGTTAAACTCTTAAAAATCATCGAAGTGTAGTGTTGGAACTGGTGTACAGCAGTTGCTGCAATGCTAATAATGAGCTGGTTTATTGTGTAGCTTATGATTCATTGAGGACAGTTATCTTTTCCACCCCTTTATTCCTAGCACCTAGCATACTGCCTAATACATGGTAGTCTATTAAAAACAAGGTGTGTTAGAAATCATCCAAAAAGAAGAAAGGGCCATAATAAAAACATTAACCTTACAACTGGAACAAGTAGAAAGAGAGCAGCAAAAGAAGCCTCCAGGCGTCAGAAGAAAGGAAATAATAAGAGTTAGAGCAGAATTAAATGAAATAGAGAATAGAAAAACAATTGAAAGAGTTAACAAGACCAAAAGCTGGTTCTTTGAAAAGATCAACAAAATTGAT